GCTGGATATAGGAAGAGACCACAAAAGAGAACCAAAGATTACATGACAACAATTGCTAAAGGAAGTTTCCAGAATTGTGCCACATTGTACTACCACAAGTGTTCCATAGGCCAATACTTAGATATATTACCAAACTTGGCTTCATCAAAAGCTGGGAAATATCATCCTTTTTTCTGAGTAGCCATCTGCCTAGCTAAAAATTCTATCAATGTATAGAAGGGAGTTGGTTATTGGTACATTTAATAGTCTCCTCCACAATCCCCCCCTTTAACTTCATAAATATCTCTGACACCCTCCTTCATCTATATACAAATACAATCAAAAGGGATAATTTTCTAAAATGTAAACACATTTTTAATCTGAAATATCCTTAGATAAGTCTGAGGGTTAGAGAGAAGAAGTCAAATTTAGTAATCAATTTTAATGACTAAAGAGCACGGCATTCTAGACAGGAAATAAATAAAAACAAAGGACGAGAAACTGAATACAATCCTAGAATGCCGTAAGTGATGAGAACAAAAATGGAAACAAAGAGAGCAAATATGAGAGGATTGATATGAACATGGCTGGAGAGATCCCAGATTGTTTCATCTGCTGCTAATTGTGAGACATGAGCAAACAAATCAACTGCTTAAAGAAAGATGGCAAGGCTGAAAGTCTTCTGGACATACAATTTCAAATACATAGGCCCCATCTCAAAACAAATCTGTGTAGAGTTTATTTTTGTCATATGGCAGCTTGAGCTATTGTGAATTATTTCACTAGTACCTCAGTCATTCTGGAGCTAGATTTATCAGGATACTGAGAGTAAGTACCCACTGCAGTAGAGTTGATTTCAAATCATAGCAACACTGTAGGACAGGTTTTCCAAGGCTGCAATCGTTACAATCTCTGAAAGTTACTCTTGAACGTAGAGTAGCTAAAGCACACGGAAGAAATGATTACGTAAAAGAGCTGAACAGAAGATGTCAAACAGCATCTCAAGAAGACAAAGTAAGGTATTATAATGACATGTGCATAGACGTGGAGTTAGAAAACCAAAAGGGAAGTACACACTCAGCATTTCTCAAGCTGAAAGAACTGAAGAAAAAATTCAAGCCTTGAGTTGCAATGTTGAAGGATTCTATGGGGGAAAATACTAAATGATGCAGGAAGCATCTAAAGAAGATGGAAGGAATACACTATACCAGTCACTATACCAAAAAGAATTGGTCAACGGTCAGTCATTTCAGGAGGTAGTGTATGATCAAGAACTGATGGTACTGAAGGAAGAAGTCCAAGTTGCACTGAAGACATTGGGGAAAAACAAGTCTCCAGGAATTGACAGAATACCAACTGAGATGTTTCAACAAGCACATGCAACACTGGAAGTGCTCACTCATCTGTGCCAAGAAATTTGGAAGACAGCTACTTGGCCAACTGACTGGAAGAGGTCCATATTTATGCCTATTCCAAAGAAAGGTGATCCAACAGAATGCAAAAATCATTTGAAAATATCACTAATATCACACACAAGTAAAATTTTACTGAAGATCATTCAAAAGCGGTTGCAGACTTAGAAGAGAACATGGAACGAGGGATATCATTGCTGATGTCAGATGGATGCTGGCTGAAAGCAGAGAATACCAGAGAGATGTTTGCCTGTGTTTCACTGACTATGCAAAGGTATTCAACTGTGTGAATCATAAAAAATTATGAATAACATAGCAAAAATGGGAATTCCAGAACACTTAATGGTGCTCATGAGGAACCTGTACATAGACCAAGAGGCAGTTGTTTGAACAGAACAAGGGGATACTGCATGGTTTAAAGTCAATAAAGGTGTGAGTTGGGGTTGTATCCTTTCACCATACTTATTCAGTCTGTATGCTGAGCAAATAATCTGAGACGCTGGACTATATGAAGAAGAATGTGGCATCAGGCTTGGAGGAAGACTCATTAACAACTTCTGATATGCAGATGACACAAATTTGCTTGCTGAAAGTGAAGAGGACTTAAAGCACTTACTGATGAAGATCAAGGATTACAGCCTTCAGTATGGATTATACTTCAACATGAAGAAAACAAAAATCCTTACAACTGGACCAATAAGTGACATCATGATAAATGGAGAAAAGATTGAAGTTGTCAAGGATCTCATTTTACTTGGATCCACAATCAATGCCCATGGAAGCAGCAGTCAAGAAATCAAATGAGGTATTGCATTAGGAAAATCTGCTGCAAAAGAACTTTTTAAAGTGTTAGAAAGCTTAGACGTCACTTTAAGAACTAAGGTGCGCCTGACCCAATCCATGGTGCTTCCGAATAGTGTTTCGTTCTGTTGTACCTAGGGTGGCTATGAGTCGAAACCAACTTGACGGCACCTAACAACAATCTTTACAGAAGCAGACTGCCATATCTTTCTCCTGCAGAGTGGCTGATGGGTTTGAACCACTGACCTTTTGGTTAGCAGCCTAGCACTTAATCACTGAGCCACCAGGGCTCCTTGAGAATAAATGCAGATCTATCATTTCTCTGTTAGAACATAGCTTACATTAGGGCAAGTTTTGTCTGCCATTGTTTACTGTTATATTTGCAGCATCTAGAAGAGTGATATATAGTAGGCACTCAATAAATACTTATTAATTAAATGACTGAGTGGACATTAATATATAGTAATTTGTTTTCAACACAATGCTTTTATTGTTTAGACAAAATGAGAAACTTTAATATAGTCGATGTCAGGTCAAGTAAAAAGTCTATACTGTGCTAGTCTATTGTAGAACAAATACTCAAAGACAAAAACCTTTTGGTTCCTTAAATATCATATTGGAAGTTGGTTGTCTCTTCTATCTCTATGTAGAACTAGGATTTTTCTGCCTTTATTATACCAGGAATCTCAAGAAAAATATCCTAAGAAAAATATAAATAAAATTGGATCTTGACACCAAAACTGATGTCTTATATTTTCCCGGGTAATGCAAGGAAAGTCTCCATTAAATAGTTGAAGTAGATTAAGTCTTCTAGGATTCTTTTACTCTTGAGTATAGCGTTCAACAGGGTGTGAAAAATGCCAACATTTATAATTTCATTTTATTGAGGCAAGAAGAAAGTTAGAAGCTAGTATCCCCTCTAGGGAATTACTATAGTGTCTCTTGCCAAGAAATTTCCACAGAGGTTAACTGTATGGAGAACAAAGTCCCATGACTTTATATAAAGAGTTACAACCCTCTCTTAATGTTATTTTAGAGGAAAATAGGTTTCCACTTCTAAAGACACTTGAGAGCCTTCAAATCAAATAAACAAGTATTCAGGACATATGACAAGACATAAAGCCACTAAATACAGAGAATATTCAATCCTTATCCACACTTAACTTTTAATTTTGATGGAAAGAAAAGATCAATACCTTTTCTGCTAGAAAAATGTGAGTTGTTGTTGTTTTTAGGTGCCATTGAGTTGATTTCAACTCATAGTGACCCTATGTGACAGAGTACTGCTATTGAACATCAAACCTGATTTAAGGTAGGTGTTTAGGGGTGCAGTGGGAGAAGGGAAGACTTGATCTTTTTAGCATGATTTAATCTTTTTGTACAACCCTGTGTATGTTGTGACCTCTTTATGCAAAGTTGCATGCTAAATAATCTGTGAATACATTGGATTCTTTCAGTAAGAAAACAATATCATTGTAATTTAAAACACTGAAACTTGTCTTTAAAAATTGATCTAGGGATACAGTTTGCATTGGTGGGTATTTCCATTAATTAACCTATATCTGTACTAACATAAAAATCTTGAAATCATTGACATCAGATTTAAGCCTAGTGATCTCAGTAATTTAGGGAAATTAAAGGGAATAAAGTGCATTTCCTTTATGAGACTTCTTATGGAGGGATAAGATACTATTAACATCTGGTACACTCTGACAAAAAATTGAACAGATATAGACTTGCAATCAAACAGGACATTGTATTTCATGAAAATAATCAACATTAAATATTTCACTTAATAAAGTGTGGTAGTACTTATTGAACTAATCAATCCTTACTACACAGCAAGGTAGATAAGGGAGGTTCCAAATATTTAACAATGCATAAATGTTATATGTATTAACGATTGGCAGTGAACTGGATCCACGTTTTCTGATTCCATATCCTGTTTACTTTTCTACTACACAAGTGTTTTTAAACTTATTACCATTACCTATAGTGAGAAATATATTTTACATCATAATCCAGGTCACACAAGCACATACATACACCTGTAGTGAAAATAAACATAATAAATCAAGAAAAGAGCATATAACTGTTGAAATGGATATGATAGATTGCAAGTCACATTATGAAAAACACTAACATACACCATACTGTGGTTATAAGCACTGATGCCTGTTATCACTGGGCTGTGAAATCAATTACTGTTTGCCTTGATTTTCAAATACTGAATGTGTTGCCTTGCTTCCTTTTATAATAAAGGTTTTATGTTGGCAAAAAGTCATCCTTTGAGGAGTAGACCTAAGGAATAGCAGTGTGTTGTTATTTCTGTGCAAATCAGACCAATCCACGTGGAGCTCAAACAGTTCTGAACTTACCCTAAGTCAACTAATAAATTCAACCAGAGCATAGCTAAGGTCAGCAGACTACTAATGAAAGAAACGGACATCTGCGGTGAGTTAACATGGATGGTTCTTGGGTACTCTTTCAAATCATTCTTTCCTTCATTTTATTCTTTTCTTTAACATAAGATCAATTATGAATTCTCCTTTACCTAATCATTATTCTATTAGAATTTGCTATATTGCATTTTTGGGTAAAATGAAGAGATTTGTACTAACAAATTTCCTTTAGAGGCACTATAAAAATTATAATGTGTGGCATTTAGACATAATTTTTTTCATGTTGCAAGTATCAGATCACTTCACTGGAGGTACAACATAGAGAAAAACCCACTATAACTCACTTTATTTTATTTAGCAGAATAAATTAACAAAGAAATTCAAGTTGACTACATCAACAAGAGAAATGACAGTCATGAATCTGGGCAATGGAAGTATTCCAAAGGTCTTCATTCTCTTCGGTTTCTCTGACCATCCTTGGTTGGAAATTCCTCTCTTTGTGATGGTGCTTGTTGCTTACATCTTCACCCTGGTGGGCAACATCTCAATTATTGTCATATCCAGGGTAGATCCTCACCTTGACAGCCCTATGTATTTCTTCCTTTCCAATCTCTCCTTCCTGGACCTTTGTTTTACCACAACCACCATCCCTCAGCTGTTGCTGAACCTCTGGGGACCAGATAAGTCTATCAGCTATGGGGGCTGTGTGACCCAGTTTTATGTGTTTCATTTCCTGGGGGCCACTGAATGCTTCCTCTTAGCTGTGATGTCCTTGGATCGTTACATTGCCATCTGCAAGCCCTTGAGGTACCCAGCTATCATGCATCAAAGACTTTGTATCCTCTTAGTAGTCATAGCTTGGCTAAGTGGTTTGGCTAACTCCTTGCTTCAGTCATCCCTTACTGTCCGGCTACCACTTTGTGGTAACAAGGTAGAAAGCTTCCTGTGTGAGGTTCCAGTGATAATCAAGCTGTCATGTGTTGACACCACATTCAATGTAGCTATGCTCTCCATTGTGGGGACGTTCTATTCCCTGGTGCCCTTGTCACTTATCCTTGTCTCTTATGGGTTCATTTTTGCTACCATCCTGAAGATTCAGTCCTCAGAGGGAAAGAAGAAGGCATTTAACACATGTAGTTCTCATGTTATTGTCGTATCACTCTTCTATGGACCAGTCATTAGTATGTATGTCCAGCCCTCTGTTGCTAACTCCCAGGACAAGAATAAACTCATGTCCCTGTTCTACAGTTTGGTGACTCCTATGCTTAACCCTTTCATCTATACTTTGAGAAACAAGGACATGAAAGGGGCAATGAAGAGGTTTCTTGTCTCATTGTACCACCAGGGAAGAGAGTAAACACAACACCTTCCATACATAACTCAGAAGATCTCCTGTTCTGAAATTACCTCTTGATTTACCTTCCTCAAAAATTGTTAGCATCTTTTAGTACCTGTCCTGTCAACATATATGTTTTCCTACCACATTACTGTGATTTATTCTTGATTGGATATAATTTCAAGTGTGAATCCTAATCCTTGGTTTGTATGAAATTTGTGTGAGAGTGGGACCACATCATTAAGCTCCTCTATAGCAATCTAGATATTCTATTATTGAAATCCCAAAAGTGGGCAATAAATAAATGCTTATTGGCTGACTCATTTACAGTCAGACACACACACACAAAAAAAAAAAACCTTATCATTTTATGATTTATTTTGGAAAAAATTAGAAATAACATGTTCTATAATGACCCTGTCAACCACACATTCATTGCCTGATCCTTTATAAATGGGATAATTCAAAAACATTTGACTCTTTCTTCCTTATACTTCTCAATGGGATTTTTAAGATATTTGACTAAAGTAAATATTTCTAGGTTCCCAAAGGGAAAGTTGAGGATTAAAATCCTGAGAAACTTCTGCATGGACTCCTAGTATGGAGAGTCACTCAGCCTTCATTGGGGAGGTAATCTGCCTAGAATGGGAAAATAAGGTGTATTTGGTACTAAAGGTTAGAATAGTATAGTTATTTTTGAAATATTTTAAATTATTAAAAAATATATTTATTGAATCAGAGCATTAAGTGTTAAGTAGAAGTGAAGTGGAGGATAACATGAGAGAAAATATAAAATAGATTGACTACCAGACCATTAACTCTGAGATAGAGGTGATGAAGTACAAAGTTTGATGGGTGGAGGTGGGAGGATAAATATTCTGTTGATTTTTATTAATAATATCAACTCTTCTCATTGTAAATGGTCACTTCTCATACTTATTTGCTCCACACCCTTACAAAAACCCTCATTTTCAACTTGTATTTAAATATTTACTTATTTTTTTGAAACAGCTATAAGCATTCATATAAGATCTGTACACATCTGCTTATCCTTGATGCCAAGGTATATTTGCACTGTTCACTTCCAAATGGCAAGAACAAAATCTACTAACTCATATTATATAAACCTCTAATTCAGAGATATATTCATTGCAATCAATAATTAATTAATTATAATAAATTAATTCACTTTTCAATTTCTGCTCTAGGTATTACAGTAAAATTTTGTTTGTAAACATGAACGGAGGAATACGACAATTTTGCTCTTGTTGGAGAAAAGAAAACATCACTTGTTTGGAGGCAAGCTGATTCCTTAGCATAGACGTAATATCAGTTAAGGACTAGGTCTTCTGACTTTGCTGTGTTCCCCTCCTTCACAGTGCTGACCACACTTAAAGCTTTACATTCCCTTAGATGACTCCCTCTCTTCTCCAAAAAGACCATTAGGTATTTTCTTTCTCACTTGGTAATCTGAATGGTTAGCAAGATGAGTGCAACAGAATAGGCTCACAAATATTTTTTAAATAAATAAATCAATGCATGAAAAAGTATTACCTACTGTACTCATTTGTTGTTGTTAGATGCTCTTGAGTCAATTTTCAACCCCATATAACAGAGTAGAACTGCCCCCTAGGATTTTCTAGGCTGTAATCTTTTTGGGAACAGATTACCAGGTCTTTCTCCCATGGAGCCACTGGGTGGGTTTGAACTTTTTGGTTAGCAGTTGAGCACTTAATCACTGTACTCATTACCTACTGTTAAAACCTATGTCAAAAGCTTATGCACATATCAGTCATGTACTAAAAGATAAGTTAAGCAAGAGAGGTTATTAGCTGATTTTTAAGGCAATGTTTCCCAAACTATCTTCTGATACTACTCCAGGAGAACTTAACAGGGAAATCTAAACAAAAAAGTAATCCATGTTCAAACAAATTTGAGAAATGTCATATTTTATTCTTGGCATTTTGGAAGATAAAGTATCATATTAAATTGTCTGATAACTCCAAAGTAAATTTTTACATCATGTTTAATACAGCATTTCCCAAGCACTTTTCTGACATATCATTGGTGTCCTTTACAGCAGGCAATAACAGCACAGTTTTGGAAATGACTCATTAGAAGACAGTGAATCCTAGAACTGCAATAGAGAAAAACAGATGAGTTAAAGGAAGCAGAAAATTTTGTTCAGGATGAATAAACAATTTCTTATCAAGTAGGTTTGTGGCGTTTTGAGAGACAGCTGCCCAGAATAGTCCTATTATATCTTCCCAGATTTCTGAAATCACAATATTATTTATTCCTTTAGGGTATAAATTTTGTGGTCAATTGTTATGTTAACAATTTTATAGCCAGTATTTATTATGCTAATTATTTTCTCTTAATTCTGGTAGAAATATAATAGTAGCTACCACACAGAAGTTGATAAGCTTAGTTATTGTACTTTAGTTTAAACATTAAAATAAATTGTTGTCTTTTTTCACTAAATATACTTTCTCCTAAAAATGTAGCTCATTATGCAGCTATCTCAAAATCTCCTTCATATGTCGCTATTATAATCAATAAAATAAACGGTGCATAATTCTAAATCAGTTTTACAGTTACAATGAAAAGTTAGTTTCATCAATCCTTAACTATCTTAATCAAAGCTTAATCAAATCTCGGTTTTAACTAGGGTGGTGAATAAACTCATCTCTCCTAATACACCTCACATCTCTTGCCATATTCAGTCAATAGCTACAGGAAATACGTAATTAACAAAAGTTTACATTTTTCCATGTATCTCTAATTAGGTTATGGATTTTTAAGATCAATATTCATAACATTGATTATATTTTCATAGACACTTTGCACTTATAAACACTTGCATCAGATAACAGGTGGAGTGTTAGTAATTGGGCCACAGTCTAAACGCTGATGCGTTGGAGAGCTTGGAGAATCAGAGTATTCTGCAGCCAGAGTATTAGAGTATTCTGTAGCTCTATTGTATAGTCAAACTGCTTGGTTTTGGAATTCAAATGCACTACTTACTAGTTATTTCACTTTGTCCAAGTTGTTTAATTCTAATCTTTATTTTCCCTATGTATAAAATGGCTAAAACTGTACAACATATTTCAAGGGGCTCTTTTAAGGAATAAATCAGATAATGTATGTAAACGGTCTGGTCCACCAGCCATTATTATAATCATTACCTTCTGAAAATATTAAAACCTCTGTATTTTCTTTCACGTCCAAACCCATTGCTGTCGAGTCGATTCCTACTCATAGCAACCCTACAGGACAGAGTAGAACTGCCTCATAGGGTTTCCAAGGAGCAGCTGGTGGCTTTGGACTTCTTTGGTTAGCAGTCAAATGCTTAACCACTGAACCACCAGGGATCCTTCTTTCACATTTCTGCTCTTAACTCAGGTTTCTTTCTGGGCCACAGGAAAAGAAAAGAAAGAAGAAAAAAAAAAAAAAAAACTATTACAGCATAATGTCATTGATGTTAGTTAAAAGCCTGAAGGCATGATCTTCATTCAGCTAAAAACCCGTTGCTGTCAAGTCGATTCCAACACAAAGAGATTCATTCAGCTACATCCCTGTATTTAAATTGCCCCCAAATTCCTCATCTTGTGGTTTATCAAGGTGCAAGGTTTTCACTGATAAATTTCCACTAAGAGATGGTAACAATATTCTAAATAAAATAGAAAGAGAATTGTTACATTTTAGTTATCAATTATTATTTATAAAAATTGCCATGCCAATATTTTTTAAATTATTATTGGAGACTGAAAAAAATATTTTGTTCATGGATGACTCTTAGATTCAGAAGTCCCCAGCTTGGGTCCTACCTTTGCCACATAGTCCTGTGTGATTATTGACAAATCTATAAACTTTAGATCCTTCGTTGATAACATTTATAAATTTGTTGTAAAGATTTAATGATATATAGACAATAATACTTTAGTCTGAAGCATTACATACAATAAAGGACAGGATATTTTTAATATCATTTAATCAGAATTCAAGATATCTTCAAAATATTCTTTATAAATTGATTTCTCAGCAAACATATTAAAAGATATTTCTAAAATGTAGGTTTAAAAATTATCTCCATGTGACAGGTTTTCCCACGTGAATCTGTTGTGCCTGGTCCTAACTTGCCAGAAGGCTCCTTCTCAGCCTTGATACATGTAAAAATCCCTACTAGGCTTTTAAAAATCATATGCTTGATTCTACCAGACGTCCTGTATCAGAAGATTGAGTAATTGGGTTGTTGGGGGAATGGTCTACCTCTCTGCCTCCCGTCTAGGCTGCCTAAGTAAAGGCCTTGGGCCCAGAATACTATCTGATAAGGAAGCTGGCAACTAGGTCCCTCTCTCCCTCCCAGTTTCTTCTCCTTATCAGAGACACTTTCTCCCTGTTCTGAGCACACAGTAACTTTCTCTTTCTCTTGCACATGCGTGAGCACCATATAGCACCTGGCCAACCCACCTCTATAGCTGTTCCTGGTGAGGAGAGTACGGGAGCTTTTGACTACAGCATGAGAGAGGTGAACACAGAACATCTTCCCTGCACTGGCCGTAGTGGGTATGATCCTGCTGGCCATGGAAGACCAGTGCCCACTAGTGAAGCTGATCTCACTCTGTCTCTTCTCTATACGAGTAAAGTGTTCACCCTACACTAATAGAACGTGTGTGTGGTCTGTGTCTTTTGTTGTTGACCTCAAACCATGGTATAACATGAGTCCAGAAAACTGTTTTGAATAACCTTCTCAAGTAATTTTGATGTGCATGCAGAGTTAGCAAAGGCCATTATAGAGCAAAAATTGGGGAATATTCATTAGAGATAGAAGTTACACAGGAGCTGGTTAATGGAGAAAAGTATATTCCAAAACAAGAATTGGTGATAGCTCTTGTCAAAGATATGAAAAATTCTATTAAAAGCTTAGAGGAAAGATATATAAATATATATGCAGAAAAATTAAAAATCATAACTCTTAACAGATGCTAAGGCAAATGCAACAAGACCAAGTAGAACAT